AAGGAAGAAGAAAGAAAGAAAGAAAAGAAGGAAGGAATGGAATTTAAAATGTGGCTAAAAATCTACCAGGAGATTTCAGGCCCACATGATTGTACAAGCAAATTTGACTAACAGTTAAGGACCAGGGGATTCCCATGAGGTGTAACTGCTGCATCGAGTAGGACAGTGGAACTAGCCCAGCGCTATCACTTGCCAAGGGGCCTTAATGTATAGTGTCTTCTTGCTCCCCTTCTCCCCAAGCACATAAAGAAGGAATTGGGTGATATGCCCTCCTCTGTTTCCCTTGGCTCTGTGTGTAGATCTTGGACCAGCCAGACCTACCAGGACCTGCCTAATAGCTAAGGGGGCCTGATAGACCACAGAAACGGGGTTCAGCCATTGGCCATGTGGGGTCAATCCTATTGGGAGACAGACACCGCCTGACCCCTTCGTGAGCCAGCTGCTGTGCAGGCAAGCCCACGCTTCTCCTGCTATTTATCCCTCACCATATCTCAGCAAGGCTCGTATCAGCATGAACGTCATTTGATAGACGAGAAGGAGTCTCAGGGTAGTGACAGGACTCATCCCAGCCACAGGGTTAGGGTTAGTGTGTGACAGAGCTGTGGTCCAGGTTCTGCATGGACCCAAAGCCTGGGCTCTCCCCACTGCACCCCCTGCCTCCAGGTGTGGCACTGGGCACCCTGCTTTCTGCCTCGGTTCCCTGATCTGCAGCAGTAGGTGTTGAGTAAATGATGGGTCATGATGAATAAACGAATGGTTGGGCACTTTGGGGTCCTGAATGGAATATGGGGAACAGCCCCGGGGCAGCCAATCAAAATGCCTTCCTTGCTCCAGAGCAGGGCTGTGTCTGCAATTCATTTCCTACATTAAGCTCCCCTGTAGTTAGTAAGAGAATCAAAAGGAGATACAAAGAAGTATCCTGAGATGACAAACAAGAAAAGACAGGTGACACAGTGTGGGCCTGCGTCATAGGAACCACACAGAGATGTGCCAGGCCTCTCCCCAAGGAGCACGACTCCTAGTAATAACCACAGCTGACAAATACCCCTTGTGACTCTCCTGTCCCTCCTGTCTTCAGGGAGACACCAGTGGCGACTACAAGAATGCCCTGCTGAACCTGGTGGGCAGTGACTCCTGAAGGCTCAGGAAAGAGCAAAGGCCAAGAAGCTGGAGCCACCAGGCCCTGCCTGCTCAACCTTGGCCATGGATTGGGGGGTGGGGGGGGACCAAACTTGCCTTTCAGTCTTCTATCTCCCAGCTTCCGGCACTTTCAGGTCAGTTCCGGGTGTGAGCACAGGGCCAATCTTAGCATAATCTGGCCTAACAAACACCTCGGCACAAAGGGGCTGTTTCTTCCTCCCGACCCAGGCGTTTTCGTTTTCCCAAGCTCAACTGGTCACAGAGCCTCCTGGGCCCAGCTTACACAGATACCGACCCCATCTACTAAGTCAGGTCTGCAGAGAAGAGACCAGAAAATAAGGAATTTTAATAAGCATCTCAGCTGATGAGCCTCCTGAAAGGCCACCAGTGAGCTAGGAGAGCCCATATGTTTCAGAGTACACACATGTGAGCAGCTGAGAGAGAAACACATGCATTTGGGCCCACTGGGATGCCACTAATTTTTGTTCATCTAAACACGTTAGGCTACAGGCAGAATGAACATTCTCTCCCTGTCTAACTAACAGAGAAAGCTGCAAATCAATGTCCCGACCCAAGGGCACTGTGCTCTAAGGGGCCCAGACTTATCCAGTCCTTGCTCAGAGGAGCTGTTCTTTCCTTTCCTGACACAAGTGTGAAGCATCTCTTATTCCAACCCGATGCCAAGACACAGAGACGCCTCTGCTGTGCTTTTCAGAATAATAAAGATTGTACATTCGAATCTAAGTGCCTTTGGATTTTTAGCAGTGACCAGAGTAGGACCAATTTAATTTATCAGTGTTCATAAAAGAAATGTGATTATAAAAAGCTTTTTGCAGGGGATGAATCCAACCTGAGCACACAGGTGGGCATTTCCCTATGGGGACACGCTGAGCAGACTATGCCCGCTGTCGCCTGGGGACAACTCGAGTAAATGACGATCCTTCCTATCACCTAAATCCTGATCTCTCAGAGGTGGGGGATGGGGAGTTTTAAAAGTCTTGTGCTCCTATTCCAACCTGCAGCTTTCCTCGCTTCCATGGCATCCACCCAGGGGGGTCCAGCTGTCCTCGGCTGCCTCCAGGGATGGGGAATCCCAGCCTCCCTGGATAGCCCCGTCTTCTTCCGACAAGAGTGATAAGCAGAAATCTTCCTTTAACTGAGCCAAACCCGGCCCCACACAGCCCTCTGCTCTCGACTCCCCATCTAGGGCCACAATGCCTATCCCTTCCTATCCTCCCTGCCTATCTGAAGACGACCCACAGATTCCACTAAGACATCTTCTGTCAAAGCTAAACATCCCCAGACCTTTCAACTGTCCCGCCTGGAGCCTGGTTTGGGGCCATATCCTCTGAACATGTTCTAGCTTGCAAACTCCCTTTTAAAGTATGACCCCAAGGAGCCAGGGATATCCGAGAGATGGAAGAGCAGGGCCTTTGCGCTCATGCAGGTGAGAGGTAGATCCGGCTCTGCCCTGTGCTGGCCATGTGACTCTGACCTAGTCACATCCTCTCTTCCTCTGAGCTCAGTTCCCTCACCTTTAAATGCAGGAATGCAGTCCTCCTTACTTGCTGCATTTCAAACCACCTGAAAGCTGGTATAAAACCATCATTTTACAATGGTCATGGGTTCTGCAGTTCAGGAATTCAGCCAGGGCCCAGGGGCAGATAACTCAGCTCTTCCCAGCAAGTCTGGGGATTCAGTGAGGAAGACTCAAAGGTTTGGCGGAACTCTACGGCAGGATCTGGAAATCATCTGGAGGCTTCTTTCACTCCCTGGGCTGGAAGGCTAGGCTCAGCTGGAACTGTCCCCTAGCGCTCCTACGTGCAGCATCTCTGGTATGCAGAGGGTAGTGGGGCTCCTTACGTGGCAGGTGAGTGCTGCATTGCCTTCTGGGATACACCTCAAGGGTCACACAGATCACGATCACCATGCCCTATCGGTCAAAGACATCACAGGCCAGCCCAGCTTCAAGGGAAGGAGACACAGTCCCCGGCGGTCCATGGGAAGAAGGTCAAAGAATTAGGGGCCATTGTCTTAAATCATCAACAAGTAGTTTAAGTAATTGAACAAGGGGTGCAGCACCCCCGAGCCCGAGAACGCCACTGTGGGTGGGGCCGAAGCAGGGTCCCAGAGGCCCCAGCAGCATCCTTAGGGCTACCTGTGTGGTCCCAGGCCAGGCTCTCAGGTGGTCCTAATTCTTTAATTTTTTTTTTTAATTCAAGTCCTGCTCTGAACTTTCTTTCAGGGCTGAGTCGTTGAGTCACCTTCTGCCTTTAGAAAAGACTTAGAGGATTTCTCTGCCCTGCAATCCCTTTGGATGACCGTTCTCTGGGCACAGGATTGTCTTGAGGCCCACCCCAAAACTAGCCTGATGTGGCCACACAGGAGCCTCAGGAAAAGTTGCAGCCAAAGAGACAGTTCGGGAAACTCTGTTGTGTCCAACTATGTGCCCTGCAGGGGAATCTGTTTTAGCGGAAACGTGCAGTTCATCCATCATTCCGGAAGGAGAGAATGGAGCTCCTTCTGGCCCCATAGGGCAGAAGCAGGTCTCCTGAGATTAGAGGGATGCTCTCTCCCCCTGGGGTCACAGCTAGAGCAGCATGGGTGGTCGTGTGGCATCCCCGTGAAGTGGCTCCTGTCTAGCTGAGGGCGTTCACCAGTGGGGTGTTACCAGTTGGCTCTCATGGAGGCTGGGGGAGAGGTGTTGGTTGGCAAAGGGACTTAGCCAGGACACTGAACGTGTCCTCGGCACCTCCAAATCATTTTTGCTAGAATAACCTTATGGGCTTCTCTGATAAAACAGACACGGTCCCAAGGTACTTTTACAATTGCTCTAGGATTTTTTTCTTTTTCTTTTTCTTTTTCTTTTTAATGCATCTGTGTCCTTAAAGATAATTTGGGGTCTGCTCAATTTGATTTCAGCAAAAGAGAAAAATGAGAAGCTAGGAGCTCCCCGCTTGTGGCCTTGCCATAGGTCTATAATGAAAACTGTGGTTTCCAAACTCTCTACCAGAGATTACATACTCATAAACTCCCCCTCTGTCCTCAAATCCAAGGCGCCTCATCCTTGGACGCCAGACCTGCTCTCTTCCTTTTTTTTTTTTTTAAAGATTTTATTTATTTATTTGACAGAGAGAGACACGGCGAGAGCAGGAACACAAGCAGGGGGAGTGGGAGAGGGAGAAGCAGGTCTCCTGCTGAGCAGGGAGCCTGATGTGGGACTCGATCCCAGGACCCTGGGATCATGACCTGAGCCAAAGGCAGACGCTTAACGACTAAGCCACCCAGGCACCCAGACTTGCTCTCTTCCTTAGCAATGCCGGCTGGTAGGGGAGGAGGACCTGATCCAGTCCACTGAGTTCAGGGTTTGTCCTACGGCACGACTGAAGACATAACTTCCATTCAGTGCAGGATTCTGGGAGCTATCCAATGGCTGTTCATAAATTCCTTTTCCGCTTAAACTATCCAGAGTGGATGCTCTTGTGAGCAACTCAAAAGTCTATTACAAAGAATCCATGCCCTTACAACATCAGAGGATAATGACTTACTTGTGGGGCTCCCTCAAAAAAAGCTGGGAGCCCAGGAGAGCAGGAACCTGGTTTTATTCATTCCCGAACATTCAGTGCCTATCGTATAGCAGGTACCTGATGAATATTTTTGAATGAACAAAACCAAACAAGATGACAGGCTTTGGGGATGGAAAACCATCTTGCCAGGGCACCTGAGCCCATCCTTCATCATCTCTGATTCTGAGAAGACGCTGGCCTCTTGGACTCTTGGAAGAGGGAAGCCTACTCAGCCAGCCCTAATGAAAATAGTCCTGAAAAGATCTAAGGGGGCAGGCAGCTTCTCCCCACTCCTACCTGGCACAGGCCCTATTTCAGATTAAACACTGCGTGACGAACAAGCCCAGCAGGATCCGTCCCTGCCTGAGCCCCTTTGGAAGCACACACCGCCCCCTCCCCCACCAACCACCAGTCCGGTGGGGAGTGCAGACAAGACCAGAACCAGACCCGTTGTCCACAAGCATCGCTTTGTGCTGCCGGAGGGCGAGGACTAGCATATGGGGCTTGGCTTCTTTCAGGTTTACCCTTGAGCAGGGGAAGGGTCACCTTACTGAGGATCAAATACTTGGGCAAAATCAGGATCATCTCAGCAAAGGAGTAAAGGGGGGAACGGATTTGTCCTTAACACCCATCCTACACTTCTGTTGCCACGGTCATGCATTGCACCTGTTGCCAGGGAGGGGCTAACCAGGGAAGGGTTTGTAAGGAAGGTAATGTTTGAGCAGAGTCTTGAAGGATGACTCGGTACTTATCAGGTAGACTAGACAGGGGAGAAGAATTCAGGCTGAGGGAGGAATGCAAACACAGCAGGTTATCTGGTCTCCATCAGATTACAGGAATGGTATGTTCTGGCCTCCTGAGGTGGGAGAGTCAAAAGATAAAAGTACTGTCAGGAAGCAAGTCAGGGCAAACTCAAACTATCAGACTGAGAAGCTCAAAGTATTTCCAGGGACAATGGGAGCTTTTAAAGAGTCAGGCAGGTGAGCATCTGGGAGTGGTCTGGGGAAGATTCCTGACAACACCACAGAAGAGGAGTTTGCCTGCATGAGTCTGGAGGTAGGGAGTCCAGCGCTGAGGCTGGTTCAGCAACCTTCCAGCCTAGTCCTCTGTGGTCCTGAGGCGATTTCCCTAGGAGGAGGCTGGCCTTGGCCACTTCTTGTCCTGGTTTGGGGCCGTCTTTTACATAGTTTTGATGTAGCCCCAGGCCACCCTATTTTTGACCCTGTAGCAAGGAGCAAGGCTGACTACCACAGCTCCCACTTTAGCACGTTCATCGCTGAACTAGCTCAGTGGGCCCTGGGCCTGTGTGTGGGGGTCCAGGGACTTTCATGGCCCTATGTAGGTGTCCAAGTTCCCCCCATGGGTTTGGGCCAAAGTTGCCCAATGCCCCAGTGGCCTGTGACCACCTTTGTTCCTCTCCCAGCCCCTTCCTGGCCGTTGGGCTATGATCTAGTACCATTCTGGGGCCACCCCCTTGGAGGGAACACACTGGCTGGCCCTTCCACATCACGGGTGAAGGCACTGCTCTGGCCTCCTCCCCGCCTCCCCCATGTGACCGTATATGAC